AGAAATTTTTTTGAAAATTGAAGATCCCACTTAAGGAATCTTGGATTAGTATTTGAGTAGGCCACTATTGGAAAACACTCCTTAAGTTTGTGTGTCTCTTGGAGTAGGTTTTGAGGTATGTTTATGTCTCCTATAGGCCTTTAGTGATTGAGTAAGATAGGAGGTCGAGGGCTACAACCTTTAACCAAGTACTTGGAAAAGCTGTATGGTTCCTTGAGGATGGTCGACGGGATAACTTCACATGTGACTTGGTAATGCATTTCAAGGTCATAGTACGCTTATACCCAACTATACCACTCCTAATGGTGAAACCAGACTTTTCCAGTGTAAGTGACAACATCTATAAGAAATAATGTTATTGGGATTGGTAATCCAAATCAATTGATGGGTCCATCTATTCTAGAGATGATTGTGTTGATGGGTCTATCTAGTCTAGAGATGAATGGGTTGATTCGTCTATCTAATCTAGAGATGATTAGGTTGATTTAGTAGGGTCGAGTTACTTAAACTACTCAATTGTTAGGAGATTTCTATAGGTGAATATGTGATGACATATTGGTTGAGATGTTTGCTTATGATTTATATTATGACATGATTATGTGTTTTGCTAGATGTCTTGTTTGACATGGTTTGGATAAGATACATGTTGTCTTAGAGTGTTTGGCTTCCATGTATAGTCGTTGTATGATATAGAACTATCTCTATATGCTTTCATGTTTTCTAACTCTAGCTTATCCTTCTATTTCCATGTAGTTTGGACAACAATAATCATATGTTGTATGAGAACAAATCATGACTAGGCTGGAGGGTTGATGTTAATGGACCTTTTTTGCTAGGTGTTGGTGCTACCTTAGCAACTTGTATAGTTGTAATCGATCGACACTAAGATATACAATTTATTTTGGGATTATTGTACACAAATTTATATGACTAGTTTACATTAGTTTAGGTGTTTAACTTTTATAGCCACATTATATATTATTTATTTCTTCAATAAACTTGGTATCTTCCTAGTTATCTAATTTTCGTTGCCAGTAGTGTTGATTCCAAAAAGTGTATGAATCATGACAAGTCATTACAATCGATGTAGGAAATGACTAGGTAGCCACACACAAGCATAACAATAAAATACCATATTGCATACGTGTCATTTATTAACAATTATTCCATTTATAACATTTATAACAATCAAGACAATAATCATTCACACTCACATTTTGATACATTACATTTCATCATACATTAAGTCACAGTTCAAACACAAGGGTATGTTATGTTCATCCTAGGACAAAACTCTCCTATGTACATGCATGTGGCGTTAGTAAAACACATTTATCCTTGCCCGGAGGCTGAGTAGTCTAGGAGTACATGTCGAGTCAAGTCATCACAACACTCTACACTAGAAGAAAATACACTAGTGGTGTGTCAAGACAACAATGTGGCCAAGTTTCACACCATGCACACAAAGTGGTGGAACTAAGACTCTCAAACCTAATTTTCCCCAAGGTCATGGAACCCCTAAGTTTTTACACAAGGGAGACCTTCCCTAACAGTGTATTTCACGTCGTATCCATCACAAAAATAGATTATGCAAGTGATAAATGGCATACTGCAAAGTCTCATGCATGGTCACAAACATCATGTTCACATAGTCTCTCAATTTATAATTCACTTCATTATTAAGTTATACATAGGCTTGTGCACTTGATCACTTACATATATCACATATCATATGACTCACATGTTTCACAATATTATAGGCTTTCAACACTTCTTATACATTCTCAATTCTCATCCTTAGGCATATCACATACTATTCATTTACTTCACATTTCACAGATAACTCACTATCTCATTCAACTAATTCATGTAATTTATCAATAAAGGCTAATTTAATCATAAACACAATTCTACATATACTAGTCATAGATACAAGATAACACCTAGCATGGGTTGTCCTATGCCTAACGTGATTGAGGTTGTGAGCCTTTGGAAGGCATGCTTGGCATGACTCTTCCCACACTTAATGAAATCACAGTAGGGAGCCTCGTGAAGCTCTCATGCCTAGCATGATCAATCCCATGTTTGGCATCAATGATGTTGCAAGCATTTTCGAGCTTCCATGCATGGTGAGCCCAAGATGGTGCTCAGTGCGGTATTAGTAATTTTACTTTTGCAAAATTTGCGATTTACACAATTGATGAGTTTTATAATCTACATGAATTCATATTAAAAGTTTTCATCTGCAGTTTAATTAATTCATTTTCACCAAGGGGCTTTAGATTGAAATTACTTCTCTAATAATTATTGATCAATTCAAAATCTTTAGGTTCTCACAAAACTCACAAATTTATAAACAAAGACAGATACACATATCTATATCACATTCATAGCATAATAGCATGTTTAGACACTCAAAGGGGTATCATATACATATCACAATCAAGAACAAGATTTGGGGTTTCACCCCTCATGCATACATACATACACAACCTACGAGATTAGAGGTCAACCCCACTACCCAACAAATAACCTACACCCTAGAACAATATGTTCTCAATCTTGCCTTTACCTTAATGGATGCTAAAACTTAGGTTTGGGTCTTTAAGCTCTTCTTTAATAGCCTCTCATTCTCCTTCATTTTTAGATCACAAGACGCACAAGTTAATTGTAAATTGAGATAACCCTAACGTTACTGACGCATTTAAATAAAATGCTAACCCCAACCCTTGTGTAGTTCATTAGTTAAAAATCTAATTAATTATTTCTCACTATTTTGAAAATAACTAATAAATTATTATTATTATTATTTTGAAAATATCACTCAAAATATAATATAATCCCAATTAATCAATTTAAAATCTTATATTAATTTTTATGAAAAAAATGAGATGTTATAGTAATCCATGCAAAAACACCATGACCTATTTTTTAACAAGCAAAGAATAAGTGAATGGAGAAGTAGGAAAAGACACTAGGATGGAAGCCATATGATCAAATGATGATGGAATTGGTGATGTAGTGGTGATTTGAGATGTGTAAATGGAACCTAGTTGAATAATAGGTTGCATTATTTAGGGAAAGGATGTGGTGTGATGAGATTATTTTATGATATTTGTTCGCGGGTTATTTTTATAATATTATTTCATACACAACTCCACAATGATGAGATATTGTCCGTTTTGGGCTTAAGCTTTCACGATTTTACTTTTGGTCATCATCCAAAAAGCCTCTCCATCATTGGAGTATGGGTGTGTTTTATAAGTTGTTATTTTTTTCTCTTATTTTATCGATGTAGGACTTGTTTGTATCCTAACAATCCTCCACTCAAACAAGGAACCTAACCTTTTATGCAGTAGAATCTGTCTTTATATATAAGATTATATGTTATGAGTTATAAGGGGTTACGAGGGTTGTCACTGAATCCAACCTTGCGGCTCTGATACCACTGATGGAGTTATTTTATGATATTTGTTCGAGGGGATATTTTATGAAGGTTATTTTTATAAGATTATTTCACACACAACTCTATAATGATGAGATATTGTCCACTTTAGGCCTAAGCCCTCATGATTTTGCTTTTGGTCATCACCCAAAAGGTTATTTTTATAAGGTTATTTATTGGCTTCTCACTCATTGGATTATGAGTGTGTTTTATAAGTTGTTATGTTTTTCTCTTATTTTATCGATGTGAGACTTATTTGTATCTCAACATGATGCATGGTAGACGAGGGTATGGATAATGGCAAAGGCATGGTTAGTGGGGTCAAAATAGTAGTGGGTTTGTGTAATTGATCCATTAGGTTGGCAAGGTTAGCGATAATGATGTCATGTTAGGAATTATGGAGTAACAATTGTTGGCTAAATTGAGATTGTAAGGACGTGAGTTTCTTCGTGAGAGTTAAAACAATATCATTCGCATTCTTGCTTGTTTTTGGGTCAACATCTTTAGTAGCTTTGGGAGGCATAAAAATGAAATGAAAGCACCAATAATAGATGAAAGGAGACTAGAGCAAAGCTACTTGAGGGGAGGCTAAGAAACATTAACACATAATTACCATCTGCCTATCATTCATTCAAAATGAAATAGAGGGTTATGTATATGATGATTTTAGCAACCCCAACATAAAAACCAAATTATTGAAAGCATGAAATACAAACAAAGAGCCCAATAACTACTATCCCATTATGAATCATAAAACCACTTGGGGTCTATCCTTGCTTTTGGGCTTGGCTCCCATTTGCAGCCCAATTGTATTGCTATCACGTGTGAATGCCATCATGTCACGATATAAGAGATTCAATATTTACGAAGACTTAAATGTACAAAAATCAAAGAATTATTCTGAGTTACTTGATTTTCATCTAACTAATTTATTAATTAAATTATTTAATAATATTTTCATTTTATCATTATGTATATCAAATTTTACATTAATTTTTATTTTTGAGAAATCTTCGGCCAATTGCATCACCATTGTACCTGACTTTTTGATAACTATTTAAACATGATGTAGAAGACTCACTCATGAATCCAACATATAATGCTTAAGCTGACCTATATTCTGTAAATAAGAATTTTTGAAATTTTTTCATTAAATTCTTTTTTAATTTTAGTAAAAAAGCTCTAAAAAATTATCGTAAACTATTATCTAAATAGAGTTTTGATCATGGCTAAACCGACTTAACTACTACACAAAAAGCTACATAACACATGGTCCAACCATTCGATACAAAATTGACCAATATATGTCCTTTAATTGTTATAAGTCATGACAGGGATAAGGTACAAATATTTAAATTGGGGGGTTCATAAGTAATTTTACTTTTCTTAACATATAGTACTTATCCAAGCCATTTTAATAATCCATATTTGGTAGTACAAGGCAAGCCACATAGTGATTGCCACCAGCATTATATATCAAACCTCTGTGTCTCTCGAGACTTCGTCACTTCACCTTTTCCCTTTTTTCTTTGCCCCACCAAATACGGAGAGAAAAATGGACCTAGCGTGGGCCTCAATTCTGATACTGATACTGATTCTGATATGCACATGGAGGGTGCTGAACTGGTTATGGCTGAAGCCAAAGAGAATCGAAAGGCTTCTGAGAGAGCAAGGCCTTCATGGCAACCCTTACAAGCTTCTGGTTGGAGACATGAAGGAGTTTGTCAAGATGCGAAACGAAGCCTTATCCAAACCCATGAATCTCTCTCATGACACAGTGCCTCGACTATTTTCCTATATCCAATATAGTCTCAACAAACATGGTACTTCTATGATTCTTTCTCATGATCTTCTCCTTTTTGCAATTGTCACTTGGGAATTTTATATATTAGCAACGATCATAAAAATATGCATACAATATTATATGGTATACGCAAAGTGGTCAATTCTTTTAGTATATAATCATGACAAAATTTAAAACTAAGATCTTGTTTAAGTTGAGAAATACTCAAACTACCGACATATGTTGTTGTTTTAGCCTGATTCTTATTGTTGGTGATGGTATATGTAGGCAAAAATTGTTTTACATGGTTTGGTACAGTCCCAAGGGTGATACTCACAGATCCTGAGCTGATCAAAGATGTACTCAACAATAATTATGACTTCCGAAAGTCTGTTTCGAATCCGCAAGTGAGGTTACTAGCTCCTGGTCTTGTAAGCTACGAGGGAGAAAAGTGGAACAAGCATAGAAAGATAATCAATCCCGCGTTCAATTTAGAAAAGTTAAAGGTTACTTTTCTCTCTCTATATATTGTTATATTGACTTGTGTTTCTTCCGAGAACATTTCAACAAAACATTGATTTTGTGTACGGACAAAAAGAAAATAGTATTAATTCATGATAGAGTTGGTATTACTTTTAAAATTAAGTTTTGATAGATTTATTTTATTAAATAATTTATTTTTTATATTATTTTTTAATAATTTAATTATTAAATTAATTTTTTAATATGTTTATTATTTAAGCTTATAATTTTTTTTAAAATTTAAAAATTATTTTATTTCATAATTTAAATTGACAGATAATCATAAAAATATTTTATATGTTGATTTGAATTTATATAGTAAAGTATCATAAAAATTTTCAAATTTTTTAAAATTTTGCAAACTTGATATATATATTAAAAAAATTTAATCTAGTGGTTAGTACATAAAATGTTTTTATTTTTTTATGAAACTTAAATCGAGAATTTTAGTTTCTCATGTTTGGTAACTAGTTATTTAATATTTATTTTTCAAGAATACAATTTTTTGAGAATCATTTTTATCTTACTTTTTCACAAAAATATTATTATGGGAGTTAAGAATCCAACCTTTCCAAATTAAGAGAAAAGTTATATATATATATATATATATATAAAAGTATCTTTCTCTTTCTCTTTTCTATTTCTCTTTTTCCCTTCCTCTCTCTCTCTATGCACTCTCACTCCCATTTTCTTCCTCTCTCCCTTTCTCTCCCTCAAACATGTCCATTTTCTTTTTCTTTTTCTTTTTTGTATTTTATTAATTTTTGACCTTGTCAATTTTAATAATAATATTAAAATTTATTTTATTTCTACAGTTTAATTGTATATGTTAACATTTATTTATTTATTTGAATGAAATAAAATAATATATTTTTCCTTCTTAATTATAAGGTGGCATTTTTTTTGTTTATTTTTGCTTATTGAATTTTGTATTTAAAATTTTTTAACTATAAATCCTTAACTTTTTAAAATAGTTTAATATCATATTTGTAATAAGATTTGTGTAAATAAATATATTTAATGAATTTATTTTCGTATAAGATTTTTTTTTACAAAAAATATTTATATACATGAATATACTATTATAATCGAACATGAAAATCTTGTATGAATATTCACAAAAGCCTTTATAAGTAACAAAATAGATTTTAACTATTATCATGATTCAATATTTGTAATTTTCAAAAATTATAATTTCTAGATATGAAAAAACTTTTCACTAACCAAACACCTCTTTAGAATAAGTAAATCTTTCCTCTAATTGAGTTCAAAGCTTGATTTTGTTTAGCCTGCAACACAATTTTAAATGCAACATCAGTTAGTCTATGTTTCAAATCGAAGTATGAAAGAGAGCATTTGTGTGCTTAAATTCACAAGGGGGATGTTAACCGCTTTCCATTTTCCACTATATCACAGAATATGTTACCATTATTCACCAAATGTTGCGATGATTTGATTAGCAAATGGGAAGGAATGTTGTCTACACACAGATCATGTGAAATGGATGTATGGCCCTTCCTTCGAGAATTGGCTAGTGATGTTATTTCTCGCACATCATTTGGAAGTAGTTATGAAGAAGGAAGAAGAATATTTCAACTTCTAAACGAGCAAACTAAACTTACTCTAGATGTTCTGTTAAAAGTTTACATCCCTGGATGGAGGTAAGACTAACATGTATATTTAACTACGTGATAGACTTAAGTGATCTAGCTTATTGGATGAGCTTGACATATATTTTCATATAGGAAATTGTGATTGAAAATAATACCTATCGTTCATAATTTAAAAAAAAATGGTTTTACAGTAATATTTTCCCATATATTGTGACATCTCTCAATTGCATCTTGGAAAATTAAACTATGTTTACTATTGACAGATCCACCATTATAAGGGTAGTTGATCTAGAAAAGAAGATTCTCTTTATATCATGATTATTACAAGACTGATTTCGTTGACTTGTAGGTTTGTACCTACTCCTATCCATAGAAGGATGAGGGAAATTGACAGAGATATAAAAGCTTCGCTTAAGGGTATTATTAACAAGAGAGAGAAAGCACTGAAGGAGGGTGAAGCCACTAAAAATGACTTGTTAGATATACTTTTGGAGTCAAATCACAAGGAAATTCAAGAACAAGGAAACAAAAAGAACGTTGGAATGAATCTTGAGGAGGTAATGGAAGAATGCAAACTATTCTACTTTGCTGGACAGGAAACAACTGCAGTTTTGCTTGTTTGGACAATGATATTATTAAGTAGGTACCCTGATTGGCAAGCACGTGCAAGGGAGGAAGTTTTACAAGTTTTTGGTGACCGAAAACCAGATTATGATGGCCTAACCCACCTCAAGATTGTAAGTTTGTATTATCATCTTGATACTCTCTAAATTCATAGATAAGCACGATGGTACATAAAACTTTTGTAATTAAATATAAGTAAATTCTAATTAATTTATTATATTTAATGCTATCATTTCAAAAGATACTCTTAAATTAATTATGATTACTATTTTTAATTAACATTATTAAGGATAGTTTAAGAAGTAAAGTTTAATTTTTACATTAAATGAATAAAATTAAATCAATTTAACTAATTTTCTTTAATATATGTAAATTTAAGTATTTTATTTATATATGAGTCAAGAGAATATGTCCTTCATAATTATTGTTATGATGATTATTTTTTGCAACAGGTTACCATGATTTTACACGAGGTTCTTAGGTTATACCCACCGTTTATTGCTCTTTTTCGAAAAGTTGACAAAGATATGAAACTTGGAAACCTATTATTACCGGCTGGAGTGCATATTACCTTACCAATATTAATGGTTCAACATGATTGTGAACTGTGGGGTGATGATGCTAATGAGTTCAAACCTGAGAGATTTTCTGAAGGTGTTCTAAAGGCCACAAATGGAAGAGCTTCATTTTTTCCCTTTGGAGGGGGTCCAAGAATATGCATCGGACAAAACTTTTCCTTGTTGGAAGCAAAGATTGTTGTGTCAATGCTTTTACAACATTTCTCATTTGAACTTTCTCCAAGCTATACTCATGCCCCAACAACTGTGATTAGTCTTCAACCCCAATACGGTGCTCATGTCATTCTACGCAAGGTGGAAATATAAAAATAAAAAATAAAAATTATTAGATCTTATTTCTAGTTTATATTATACTCTTCTTGATGAGTTTATAATGTGTGAAATATGATGTAATAGGATAGTTTTCAACTAACTCTCGTGATTACTAGTAGTAATCATTAGAGTTATTAGTTTGTTATACTTTCTGTTAGACTTGTTATTAATAGAGGCTCTGTTGGACTTATATGTATAAATAAGAGACTTGCTTTCTCATTGTTACATGAAAAAAAAATCATAAATATACAAAAGTATTTTTCATATTCTTTCTATTTTCTCTATATTCTTTTTTCACCTTATACCTAAACACTCCACACATGGTATCAAGAGATTGATAGATCCTTAAATGGCATCAATAGGTTGAGCCTATTATCAAGGCACATTGTCTTCAACATTTTGTTTTTTTATCCTAAGATTCCACTTTGATTCTTGAATGAATCAAATCGCAATGAGGGAAAACTAAACTTGAAGTACATTGTTTAGGAGCAACAGGATCAAATGCTTATGTCGTGGCTTCTATTGTCTCTCTTCACTTTAATCCTTTCATGAGTTCTTGGAAGCGTTCATTTGTATCAGGTCTAGGACAAGATACATGACTTCTTCCATAAACAAATTCAAGCACACACATTAAAATTCAAACAAAGCTTCAATCGACGATACTTGAAGATAAGACTATGGAGGAATATCTTCTATACATTAAAGTGTTAATTAACGCTCTTGCTTCCCTTGGAGAATTAATGTCAACTCAAGAACATGTTGATGTAATATTATAAGGACTTTAGCAAGACTACAATTTTGTGATCTTGGTCATTAAAAGCAAGCTTAAGTCTCTTCCTATTTAGGAAGCTGAAATGTTGTTGATCACACATTAGATGTGACAACAAAAATATCATAAGAAAGTTCTCGTGGAGTCAGCCTCTATTAATTTGACTCAAGCACCAACAATGAATCCTAATTTTAAACAAAGTAATGATGTGACTTAAACCAATCAATTTTCTTAAAATATTGATGTAGATACAAATGATGGAGGAAATTTTAACTTTAATCGTGGTCGTAGTGGTCAAAAAAGTTGTCGTGGTGGTGGTGGTGGTGGTCATTACTCAAATATTCAGTGTCAAGTGTATTATAAGTATGGTTACATTGTTGCAGATTGCTATCATAGGTTTGATCAGAATTATCAACCTACAACAACATACATTTTTCAGGTATTTGATTTGTAAAATTATGGAAATTTTTATAATGCAAACATGTTGCCACAACAAAACTATTATCAATCACACCAACCAGTCATATTTGATTCTCGGAATACACGAAGTCAAATTCCTAGGCTACCAACTCATTTTCAACAACTTGATGTTATGATTACTAACATCGCCACAACTCCTGCTCCTACAAAATGTATCTAGACTCAAGAGCTTCTTATCATGTTACTGGAGTTCAATATTCAACTAAATAATTCATTTGAATGTCTTGACCAAATCTTCTTTGGTAATGGATAAGGTTTGCCCATACACTCTTTTGGTTCATCCTTTTCGTCTCTCCTCACAACTCTAAAGTGTCAATAGCTCTTCATAATCTCTTACGTGTTCCTTCCATTACAAAAGATCTAATAAGGAAAATTTACTAGAGATAATTCAGTTTATTTTGAATATCATGTCATTCATTGCTTTGTTAAAACTCAAGTCACCAATGAAGTGTTGGTGCAACACAATGTGGGTCTTGATGGTCTCTACTTCTTCTCGAATTTACAAATTCATACAACACTAGGATCTTTAGCAACATGTTTAATTTATAATTCTATAAATTCTAATGTTTTCAATAATACTAGATCTTTATCCCACTCATTGGGACATGTTAGATTAGGTCATCCAAATAACCATGTACTCAAAATTACATTATAATAATGTATTTTTTTTTCCAAATAAAAGTAATGGTTTTTGTTCCTGCTTAGAAACACTACTCTTATCGCTACTTCTTCTCGGTCTTCTAAGTCTTTGGTGCCGATCGAATGCTATCTCCAAAGGGTGGGGAGGGTACTTGCAAAGGCACTCCAACGATCAAGTAAGTGTTTGGTATAGAGCAATAAAGGCTTTTATACAAGATAAATCATACATGTTTCTGTCTCATCACCTATGTATTTATAATGACAGGTTTGGGCCTGTTTGGGCCTGATGGGTCTTCTGTCTTGGGATATGGGTAATAGAGGATTGTTGTCTTTTGATTAGTCTTTAATCGTTGATTAGTCAGAAGATTTCTCATGATTGCATGCTGACCTGTCGTTCAGATTTGTGACCACATGGGTGCTCGGCCTACCTAATGACCGAATGGGTGTTCGGCCAACCTCTTTGCCGAATAGGTGTTCGGCCTACCCAATGGCCAAATAGGTGTTCGAACTTCGTAGTGGCCAAATAGGTGTTCGGCCTTCCTAATGGCCAAACACACGCTCGCCCCTCATGTTGGTCGTGTATCGTAACTTATCGGTTATGCTTGTGGCTGGAAGGGTTGTCAGCCTCTCATTAGGCTGATTGGGTGTTTGGCCTTTGATCTGGCCGAAAGAGGGTGTTCTCAGTTCAGTATGCCTTGTCGGCCCTTTTCTAAGCCGATTTGGGTGTTCAGCCTTTATGCTGGCCGAAGGGGTTATTCAGTACAGTACAGTTTCTATTCGGCATGTGTTGGTCATTGATTTGTGATGGGGAAGTGATGGTTATCTATGTCCATAAATGAGGGTGGTGTCTCGGTTACTGTCATTAGTTCACTATTTTTGTGTAATCCTTTTCAGATTGTCCATACATCCCACATTATCTTCGAGGCTTGGAAGATTTTACGTATTTTGCTTCTTCAATGTTGATCTTATTCAAAGGAGGAATGAGGTGGAATGTCTTTGTCATTAGTTGGCTATGCAGATCAATTTTGTGAATCTTTCTAACGAAGGTGTTTTGTGTGTTTTCTTGGTCATTGTGGCATTGAGGGTTGCCACTCGTATTTTTTATTTGATGTCACGGTTTATGTTTCATTTAGGATGGTTGGCGAGGCAAAATGTGGAAATAGAATGAACCTCAATCCAAGATTAATGATGGTGAGTAAGGGTTATGCTCTGTGTTACTTTTAATGAGGTCAAATGGTGGTACTTCAAATCAGGGGGAGTTGGAGTTGTTGACGAAGAAAATTTGAATGTTGTAGTTTGAGTTGGATGTTAACTAGTCAAAAAGGGTTGTGTTGGCTATTATATGCACTTGTATTAACGACAAAAGGGAGAGCTTGGTTAGTGATAGGTGATCATTAAATAGAAGAGTTGATGTTCGTGCTGCAAGGGTGTCCAAGCTTACCATTGAAAAGGACCTATTGTTGGGAAAATGGGTAATATGTCTTTCGAGCAGGCTTTGCTACCACCAAGCGAGTTTGACAACATTGGAGAAGGTCATGTCTAAGGAGCATGCATGTGGTTTCTAGAGGGCTTCTCGTCAGTGATGCTTTATTTGTTCCTAGTTTCCCTTGTAGTAAGTTGAATATTGATTGTGACATTATTAATGGAAAACTTGTGAATGAAGTCGAACTCCTTGATGAGGAAGACATAGATGATTCGTCTGATGAGGGCAAAGACATGCTTTTGTCTTTTGAGAGTGTTGGGGTGGTTAAGGAGTCGATTGAAAAGGATTTTTATGTTTTATTTACTATTGAGGGAGGCACTATCTTTGCCAATGTGGTTTCCAAGGAGGTAGCAGACTGTGTTGATGTTACACTAAGGGTACTTTTGAAGCTTAGGGATTGGCAAGCTCTTTCAAGGATTTTTTGTTTTATTGTGTCTTTTCCATCTTATAGTCGAACAAGGGTTTTATGTTTTGAATATATTGATAATGGTTTTTCGACATTTTTGTTGTGTGAAGCTTTGGCAACATTATTTTTGTATGCATGTCATGTTTTGTGGGGCTCATGTTTGTGGGGCACAAGTGTGTGTGTGTGTTTATACTTCAACTTGGAAGGTTGTGAAAGCTTGGTAGATTAGGATTATATGTAATCACAAAATTTTTTGATTGTTAATGTGCGAAAGCTCAAAAGCTTAGAATCGCATACAGACTTGGAAGTCTACATTTTCTTAGGCACTAGAGTTTAGAAGCTCATAATCGCATACAAACTCGATTGTTCGTGATCGTTTGGGCATGAGAGCTCAAAAGCTTAGAGTATGGACTTGAAAGTTTGTGTTTGCTTATGTGTAAGATCTCGGAAGCATATAATCATATCTGAACTAAGAAATTCATGATTATTAAGGCATGAGAGCTTGAAAGCTCAAAATCGTGGTCAAACTCGAAATTCAAGATTGTTAATTAAGGTATAAGAGCTCGGAAGCTCATAATTGCATTCAAACTCAGAAGTTCATAATTACTAAGGCCCGAGAGATTAGAAGCTCATAACCATGTTTTGAACTTAAAAGTTCGTGATTGCTAAGGTGTGAGAGCTCGAAAGATCATAATCGCATTCAAACTCAAAAGTTCATGATTGCTAAGGCACGAGAACTTGGAACCATAGAATCGTGTTTAAACTTAGAAGCCCATGACTGATAAGGTGCAAGAGCTTAGAAACTTATAATTGTATTCAAACTCAAAAGTTTGTGATTGCTAAGGCGCAAAAGCTTACGATCTCAAAATCATGTTTGAACTCAAAAGTTTATGATTGCTAAGATGCAAGAGCTTAGAAGCTCATAATCGTGTTCAAACTCAGAAGTTTGTGATTGTTAAGGCAGAAGAGCTTATAAGCTTAGAACCACGTTTAAACTTGGAAGTTGTCATTGTTAAGGTGCGATATAGTGGTTGTTGTGATTTGAGAAAAAAAGGAAAGGATTGCATTTATGAGTTATTTGGGATTTTTTACATTCCCTTGAATGCCTCATTAAGACCTCCTTAACTAAAATCCTTTTATTTTTATGGGAGAAAAATACTAAGACAACAAAAAAAGTACACAACCAAACTTTTTGAGTCTAGTTGAAGTAGTGCTTCACATGGGTGGTGTTCCATGTCTTGAGGATAGGTTGGCATGCCAATTCTTCAAGTCAGTATGCACCATTGCTTAAATGTTTGGTGATGTGAAAGGGGTCATCTTAGCAAGAGGCGAGTTTGATCGCTTGTTTTTCTCGTCTTTCTTCTAGCATGTCTCACTAAAAAAGGTCATCTAGGTGGAAAGATTTGGGTTTTAGTTTGGAGTTGTAGCGGCAAACAACTCCTTGTTTGCAAGCTACTTCGTTGATCCTTAATTCTTCTCTTGGTTTGTCGATTAGGTC